AATCTGTATATGGGGTAAAAATGGGAGTTCATAACCCTTTTGAATCAAACTGTGAAATATGATATATCAAGAAAGATGTAATGTTTTGAACGACCAACAATAAAAATAAATAAAAAAAAAGAAAAGAAAAATGAGTGAAATGAAGAGAAAATGAATAGTCTGAAGTAAAGGGAAATAACAGATACAAGAAGAAAGGCACAATCGTCTATCTAAAATCTGCATTCACATGGAAGAAAATAATGCCTGAGAAATCCCTAAATTTCACAAATTTATGCAATATATAAACCATCACATTTTCAGAAGTTAGTATCACTTCCACCAAATTAAGATGTTTACTTGGATCTTAAACAACTAAAATTTTTCTTTGATAAATATCTTAATAGCATACCTGCCTAGGAAAATTTACAGGATGATATGGGTTAGAGATGCTATAGAAGGGCACAAAATTTACTTCTCTCCATCTAAAGCAACCATGTCCATATGAAAATTATAAAAACTTAAGGAATTTTCCTTGAATCTCAGCACATGTGTTGCTTCAATGTTCATATAAAAGAGAGTGGTTCAGGACTACCCATCTGGGACCTCTCCCTTGTAGGAGCAATACTTCCTCTCTGTTTAGGAAAGACATAAACTATTACTTTATGGGGGGTATGAGGGGCATGGTTCAGACTAATATGGAGTTAAGAACACACAATCTAATCTCTCCCACTGATTGCAACTAGAAACTAAGAACTAAATACAGATGACAAACAGAGAAGGAATTCAAAAAATAAGAGCAAGGAGGATTCAGAAACAAAAACAACCACATGGCAGTGTGTTCTCCATTTTTGTTGATGCAGAACTGGACTTAATATCTTCATCTCTTCAAATCTGCCACAAAGAAAATAAGAAGTCACAGACTAGAAGAAAAGATTTCACAACAAAAGACTTTAATACAGAAGATATGAGGAATTCTCACAATTCAGTAATAAGAGAACAAATAACCAAATAAAAACATGGGGAAAAGTTATGAACCAATTCTTAACAAAAAATATATATGCACAACACATACAATCACACACACACACATTCACACGTGCGAATGACAGTATATTAAGAGATAGGGAGTTTGAGAGTTTGCAGGTGAAGCCAGATTTAAAGATAGGTAGTTAGTGTAGTTAGGTAAATTGGCTCTAAAAGAGTAAGATAAAGAAAATGAAGAGCATATTGAGAATGGAGTCCAGGAAACCAGAACAACACCTGGGGAAATTGAAATGTTAATTCCCACAAGGCCCAGAACCCATCCTAAAGCACTGTTAATGAAGTAGCTCATAGCAAACAGGGAGGTGCTAATCAAACCATCCCAGGCCCTTCCTGCCCAGATTACTCCTCCCTGCCCCATCAGTCCACTATCTCTTACCTTTTGGCCTTCCCACCAGCATTCCATCACTGCAGACTAGAGGGAAACAAAGGACAGGAATGTGGGAGGACTAAAAAAAGACCTTAGATATAAAAAAGGGAAGACCTCCCCTTTCCAAGGATTCTGCCTTTCTTCCTCTGGGAGGAAGTCTTTTCTGCTATCCTTTAATAAAGCCTTCCACTTTCCACTCTACACTTGCCTCAGTGTGCTTCTCTGGTGTTATACTTCAGCATTCAGGGAAACAAGGGCTCACAGGTAACACAGGGACACACAATAGTAAAATCACAATGGGTTACCACTTCACACCTGATAAAATTTTGAATGACAACACCAAAAGCAATTGAAACTCTCAAGCATTAATAGTACAACCACTTTGTAGAACTCTCTGGCCATTTCTTCTGAAGCCAATGCTTACAACATGGCTCAGCAGTTCTACTCTGGGGTCTTTATGCTAAATGTGATGTCATATTCCCACAAAGAGATGTTCACAATAGCTACATTCATAATAAGTAACTGAAAGCAACCCCAAACATCCATCAAATGATGAATAAACAAACGATTTCAGGTATTTTCAGATAATCAAATAGTACTCAGGAATAAGAGGGGTCAAACAACTGATATATGCAACATGAATGGATCTAACACACATTCCCATGCATTTCTAGAAAAGGCAAAACTAATCTATAGTCACATGGAGTTGGGGAAGGATTGACTACAAAGGGGAAAGAATTTCTCCTATGATAGAAATCTTTATGTTGATTGAGATGGTAGACACTTAAAATATACATTTTACTGTATGTAAATTATGTGCTTAAAAATTGATTCTATAATACTATGTAAAATTTCATCTCCCAAAATAAAAACATCTAGAAATACTGAATGAAAAATCAAAAGATGATCTTTATTCTGAAAACCACAGATCTTTGCTGAAACTGAAGAAAACTTAAATGGCAGATTATACAATATTTATGGTTTTGTCATAGCTTTCTTCCCAAACTGTCTATAGATATCAAATTTCTAACAAGCTCTTTTGAGGAAAATAATAAATTGATTCTAAAATAAATTTAACAATGTACAAGATCTAAAATAACCAATATAAACTGAAAAAAAGAACAACAAACTCAGAGGACTTTACTACCTGATTTCAAGACTTAACATATTTCACAATAAGTATAGAAATGTAGTCCTAGAGTAAAAAGAAACAAATAATTAAATGGAATGGAGTAGGATTCACATACACAGCTGAATGATTTTTAACCTAGATTCTAAATCAATTCATTGGGGAAATTAAAGTCATATTAATAGATGGTACTGAAGCGGGAGGACAATTTTGATGTCAGGCTTGGCAATTTCATGGGACCTGCCTCAAAATAAAAAATTAAATGTGCTAAGGATGTAGCTCATTGATAAAAACACCCTTTGGTTTAATGCCCTGTACCAGGGAGAAAAAATTGGTACTAGAACTTCCTCTGATATATATAAGAGGGGAAAAGTTCTCAACTCCCCATGCCACCCCATCTTTTATATATTTTAACACAAGACCTCTAACATGCTAGGCAAACACTCTACCACTGAACTACATCCCCAGCCCTTTATATTTTATTTTGAGACAGGGTCTTGCTAACTGCCTTAGCTGGCCTTAAACTTTCAATCTTCCTGTCTCAGCTTCCTCAGTAGCTAGGATTACAGGTGTGTGCCATCACACCCGGCTGAGATCTTGACCCTTATTACACATTATGAACAAATGTTCACTCATATTGGATATACTTAACAGCAAAAGCTAAAACTAGAAGAAATTATAGGAGACTATCTTTACAACCCTGGAAAATTTCTTAGGAAACAAAAAGCACTAACCATAAAAGGAAAATAAGTGACGTAGTGAACTCTGCCAACATTTAAAATTTTACTCTTCTAAAGACACCACTAAGAAAATAAATAGGCAAGTGAAAGACTAGAAAAACAAATATTCATTGTGTGCTTGTGTGTGTGTGTATCTGCTAAAGAATACATACACAGATTACATAAAGAATTCCTACAACTGCACCTAAATAAATAAACCCAATTTAAAAATGGGCAAAGGGCTTGACTAGAAATTTTCCCAGAGAATAAATACAAATGGCTCATTAACAAATTGAAACAAATGTTTAACATCACTAATCATCAGGGAAATGGAAGTAAAAAATAACAAATTCTTTTGAGGATGTTGAGAAAATATTACCATTTGCCCTCTTGGTGGAAGTGTAAAAATGATAGAGCCAGTAGGAAAACCAGTAAAGGTCTCTCAATTAAAGATAGAACTATGATTCTGACTTCCCTCTTCAGGGTATTTATCCAAACATTTACAGCTAGGATTTCAAAGAGGTATTTGCACACCCCTGTTAATTGAAGCACTATTCATGACAGCCAAGAGTTGTAAGCAACTGAAATGCCCATTACCAGATGAATGGGTAAAGAAATTACAGGACACATTACTAGAGAGCCTTAAAAAGGTCATTGAGCCTTAAAAAAGGAAATCCTGTCTTATGCTATTACATGAATAAAACTTAAAAACAAATGCTTACTTCAAAAAAACAGACAAGACACCTAACCTAGTCAAACTTAGTTAAATCAGAAATTAGAATGTTGATTGCCAGGAGCAGGAGGAAAGGAAAGGGAACTTTGGTCCCATGGGTATAGAGTTTTAGTTTTGCAAGCTAAATAACTTTTAGAGATCTGCTGCACAGTAATGTGCATAGAATTAACAGTAATATACTATATATTTCTAAATGGTTGATGAACTGGAGATCTGCAAGGCCCTGAGTTTGATCCCCAACACCACCAAAAAAAGAAAACAAAAACATAGTAAACTTCTGAATTTTTTATCACAATTTTTTAAAAAAGATATTTAAATGTACATAGCAGCCTTTTTCATAATAGCTAAAACTTGGAAAAAAATAAAATTGCAAAATAGATTTTTAAAACTGATTTGCTCAGGTAGGTAGAATACTATTCAGCAATAAAAAGGAAATATTCTACAGTGTAAACAATATCATAAATGAAACTAAGTCCATTGCTACATCTTTGTTTGAGAAGTATGTAAGTTTGTTGTTTATTTTTAAATTGGGTTATCTTTTTAACACTGATTTTCAGGAGTTCTTTATGTGTTCTGGATGTGGGTTCATTGTCAAATACACTAATTCTCTTCTTCCATGCTACTGTTTGAATCAGTAGTACAGTCTTTTTATGTATACATTTTAGTTGCCAATGGACCTTTATTTTATTTATTTATACGCAGTGCCGAGAATCGAACCCAGTGCCTTACACGTGCTAGGCAAGTGATCTACCACTGAGCCCCAACCCCAGCCCCAGTAGTACAGTCTTTAAAAACACATTGAGTGAAAGAATCTATTCCTAAAATCTAAGGAAGTTCTGAATTCTAGAATAAGCAAAACTAAAATCTGAACAATGTTTGAAACACTAGGGAGGAGCTGCCTAGTCAGGGTCAGGATAGAACTTACTGAAGTGATGGAATTCCATATCTTGATTGGGATGGAGGATACAAAAAAATATGTATTTGTCAAAGTTCACTGAAAACACACAACATCTGTGCAGTTTCATGTATGCAAACAACACCGAGGTAACTAAAAGAAAGAAAAATTATGATACAACTTTGATTCCACCAAAAGGTGATTTTCTTTTGATTGTATTAATAATATCAGAAACTTACATATAGTACCTCACAACTAACATCTAGATAGATGCAAGCACTCCCATCAATGTCTATATCCCCATCACACACCCACTAAAAGGTAAATGCTAAAATAAAACACAAAAGGCCTGAAATAACTATCACTGTCAAGGTCAAATTTTTCTTCTAAATATTTAAGAGTGTTTCAGAGAAATAGTATTAACACAACCAAACACTCCTTATTTCATTTTTTAGCTAAATAAAGAGAAAATAATGCTGAAACTATACAATGCCAAAACACAACATATGTGTGGACCAGCTGTTATGAGAAGATAATACCATTTGCTCTCTAAAATGTCACAGAAATGTCTTGAAGATTAATGAGATAATGGGTCAGATCCTTTTCAGTGAATAAACTACTTGCTGTGGGTAATTTGGACACTTTAGGGCACAATAAATCCATTAGGCCACTAGGTTACAATAACCATACTAAAGAAAAATGGTAGGCTTGGGGCTGGGGATGTGGCTCAAGCAGTAGCGCGCTCGCCTGGCATGCTTGCGGCCCAGGTTCGATCCTCAGCACCACATACAAACAAAGATGTTGTGTCCGCCAAATAGTAAAAAATAAATATTTAAAAAAAAATTGTAGGCTTAAAAATTTATATTCTGATAATCAAGTTTTTATATATTCAGAATAGTGCTTTCTGAAGTACAAGTTACATTTGAAATATACTTTAATTCCTTTTTTAAAAATGAGCTTTTATTTTGTGAGCTAGGTAATAAGTTCTTCCTTTCTTTTAACATTTAAGAGTTAATCAATTATAGTAGGATAAAGAAATAAAAGTTGCAATCACTGCCCTCAAGAAGCTCACAATTTAATAAGAAAAACATATAAACAACTTTAAATGCAATGTGATGAAGTTTTTTAAAAAAATCCTACATACCTGGTATTACAAAAATACCCAGGCTGGCCAACAAATCTAGATGGGAGTGAAAGACCTATGAGGTCCAGGTATGTGTTGCAGAAACTTTGGGAAGCAGCGGCACCTGAATAGACCAAGCCTGGAAGGATGAAGCAATTGGTCCAAAGGGAAGACCTAGGGTGTTGTTGGGAAGAGAGGTCAGGGACTAGACCAACAGACATACAGAAAGGCCGAAAGCCAGGGAAGCAAATGATACTGCTGGAGGATCCTCCAGTGCTGGTGTAGGGCAGGAGATTAAAATGGAAAGGGCCCAAGGGGCAGATGGGGAGGAATCCTATAGTAAGAAATCAAATACATGCATCTGAAAGTTAAGGGACAAATTTGGCAACTGACATCCTGAAGGAAGTAACTAAATTATCACCCAAGAAAATCTGCAAGGTGCAAACTGCAGGCTCTACAGAAGTCCTGATAGCAGAAACAAGAGGGGATACGTAAGAGAAACTTGGACTGCGGCAGGCAGGTAGTGAAAAGGAAATGCCATGAAACCCAAGGAATAACCCACAGTTACAAGGAAGACGAGACTACAGTTTTGGCTAGCTTTGATCATCTGTATGGTCTCAGATGACCTCCAGCAAGAATGATTTCTGTGAGATGTAGAACAATGGAGAACATGAAGTTCAAGCAGATCATGGCTTTTACCATAGCTAGTAAGGGATTTAGGCTGCAGGATGATCTTGAGTGGGTAGGGAGAAATTTACTGTTACTGTTTTTTCTTTTGTAGTTTGGTTTAGTTCCATTTTGACAGTTTCCAATATTTAAGACAGAAGAATCACTAGAAAGGGTGGGCGGAGGGGAGTTAAAACCAGAAAATAACTGGGAAAGATATAACACAGGAGAGAAGGATGGGATATAAAAGTGATTAAGAGGTCATCCACAGGGTGGGGGTGGAGGATCTCAAATACCTCTTTCACTGAGAAAGAAGAACAAGCCCTACAAGATGGATTTAGATACCAAAGAGTTGGCAACTGGTAGGAGGGAAGCAAAGGGAATTCCTTTTCTTATTGTGGTATCTTGAGAACTTATTTCCTTTGAACAAGTACAGCTAGGCTGGCTTCTGGTTTCCCAAATACTTTAAAGAAAAAGAGCTAAATCTTATTCACCTAAAGTAACTGTAAGAGTGAAATAGCTGCACATTTCAGATATTCCATTGAAAGGTTTATCTGATCCTCCAATACCACAAACATCCACACGCACGCATATGCATACATATAAAGACCTCTTCATGGAATTTTTAGAAATTTTCAGGAAGAGATAATATTTCAACAAAAAAAGATATGTTTTTTAATTATTAAAAAAAGACTAAAGTAATAACTTGTAAAAATTGTTATTTGTATTTAGGTTGGGCTAATGTATGCATGAAAACTGACTCCCAATCTGTACCACACAGATATTCTCTACCACAGATTATAAATTTTATGTGCTCTTTGAAAAACTGAATTGATACCTCAAAGTGTCTGCTCCTTTCCATCCCTCCACTTCATCTACTTGTAAGAAATCACTGCTATTCATTTGGGTATTTATCTATCTATTTATTTATTTATTGCCTCTCAAAAAATGTATCACATACCTAATACAGGGCTGCTATAAGCCATCACTAATGAATAGTAAGAAATAAAATACTTTTCTACACTGATATTATTCCTAATGAGTAAAGGGTACATTTGTAAAATTTTAATGTAAGAGTAGATCTAAGAGAAATAAGAAAAAATTCACTATATAGGTCTCAAAATCTATCAAAATAATAATTCTTAAATGAAATAAGCAAAATGGTCACTGTAATTATTGTATGCTTCTCTGAAAGAATTTTCAAAAGGCTGAATAAAGAAATAGTCATGTAAACACACACACACACACACACACACACAAATATTTTTTAAAAAGGAAAAAAAAAACCTTCAAGTATGTGTTTTAAAAAGGTGTTCATGGCCACAGTGGTCCTCTGCCCTACCTTTCCATGACAGATCTAAAAGCTGTTAAAAATGAGACTTTTCCTTCCTGCCACAAAGAAATCAAGAAACAGGAAGAAGAAAAACGCTCCAGTCTCTCCCACATGTATTTTGTCTTCCAGAGTTGCTGGTGAGTGCCAGTCCCTCCCTCAGGTCACCTAGTACACACCAGCTGCGTCTACAGACAGCATATGCCCATGCCCAACTCTTCTTCGGGCAAGCACTAGTGGAGAAGGAATCATCCTATCAGATGCAGAGGTTGTAAACAAGTCACCCAACAGTTTTTTGTTTTTTTGTTTTTTAATCTTCACAGAGTCCTAGACCTGCACTAGAGAAGAAAACTCATTCCCTGTAGTGCAAACAGCCAGCCAGACCACACATTCTTTCTCCCTCTCTGTCCCTCCCCATAATGCAAATCCACACACATGCCCCAAATACCAAAACAGGCATTTCAGTTAAGTATCAATCATTAAGAAAATGGAGGTTTAAAATAAGGAAATTCACGTTGTAAAATGTATGCCCTTTTATGTAAGTACAGATTTTTGGAGATTCTTTTCTAAATGTTTGCTTTCAGCAAAAAGAAAAACTTACTGTTGATGTGATCGATGTAGTAGACACCAATCTGAGGGTCAAACCCTGCTTCCCATCCCCACGGCAGCTCATCCCCAACACAATCAGCAAATGACAAGGGCTTCGTTAACCTACAACAAACCAGAATAAATACACTGTGATTTTTTTTTCCATCAGACCACATGTCAAAATTCAATATCCTAACCACACAAGTATCTAGGTTGCATTTCCTTTTTGTTCTTGATTAGTTCCAGAGTTTGTACTACTGTATTTAAAATACTAAAGAAAGAGAAAACATACAAGGATAAAATACAGACATGAATATCCAAAAAAGGAAAGTAAATTGTTATCCCCCTTTGAAAGTTCACAGCTTAAGGTTGGGAAATAAATCTCTTCAATTAATAATTCAAGCCATCTCAAAGCAAAGAGAACTCCAAGCTGAAAGTGAGGAGGCTTGGTATCTAGCTCTAATTCTATGGCAAAATTGCTGTCCCACTGAAAACAAAACTTTGCCCCAGGATTCAAGCACTGGTATCATTAAAATGATATAATTACTTCTAAGATAAGAATATATGCAACAAACTATACTAATTTCAAATTTGAATGCTCTTATACAAATCAACTAAACACTCAACTGTGAGGTCTGCTATGAGTTTTCCTTGACAGGAAAGAAAACATGTCTTACTTTCATAAGTATCCCACATATATCAGTCACTCAAGAAAATTTTAACAGAACCAAACACAAAGTATTAATATACCAATATGATCTCACCTTTTCAAACTGCCTTACACTTTCTCCTAAAACTGCTTTCTAAGATACTTTCTCTTTAATACTAATTACTCTTTAAAACTTTTTCTTTAAAACCCATGGGGAAACTACCTAGTTTCCTAAGCAAAATACAGATTTCAGACATAATTACAGATTATTTTTTTTATTCCCTTTGTTTTTGCTTTTGGAATTTTCCCAGGCTACTGGAGCAGTGATGGCAGGTTAATATCATAGATTAGTGAATGCCTTGTTGCAGGGTGGCTGCCACCATTCCACATACTTTCTAATTTAATATACTGGCATCAATGCCATGGATCTTATATAGGAAATATATATCTGTGCTAATGAATATCAAAAGTCTCATTGCTCACCTGAAATATGGGTCACTTCCAGAACCACATCATTCATCAGAATAACAGAGTACATTATCTACCCTTCAGACTACTGGGAGAGTGACATGAAAAGTATTCCCAGGCCTAGTCTATAACCGTCCTCCGAAGACACAAAAGACCAATGGATAAAAAGAAAGGTTCCCTTTTCTTTCAACCTCCCCATTGCATGAAATCTAGAGATGGCTCCAAGACTACTGGTCTTTGAAACCAGCTCAGCTGACAGAAGCAATAATGAGGGTAACCACCTCTAAACTAACACAC